CCAGTGTCTGATGTTTCGGAGCAAACCACACAAGTGAGAACTTCCATCATCCCATGGATCACTGCTGCTCTCGTGCCCTGTAATCTCAAATTACATGAAAAAAATAAAAAAAAAACCCGGACTCAGTTATTATCTGTATACATGCAGGAAGGTATTTAGGAACAGAAAGCCTAATTAAAGTAATTTTGCTCACACCATGAGCAGTCTCTGGCAGAGAGAGGAGTACAATCCTCTTCTCACAGGAGCAGTGAGTAGCTTTGGCTTCTGCAGTGAGAAAAGGAGCTCSCAGCAGAAATTCCCTTCTCTAAAGCCCATCCACAGAAATGATTCATTCTCTGTCCTGAAGGAGGCAGAGGTCATGCAGGAAAAAGAGATTTTATGAATCATAGCTACATTGCAGTGCCTGTGCTCCAGGGGTTAAGGCAACCTCTGGATATCTCGTGAGTTGAGAACCTTCAAAAAACCCCAAACCACTTAAAACACAGGAGTTTGCAGCAGGTAGCCTCACCCTGAGCCCTGTGTTTCCAGCAGGAGGGTCAGGATCCCCCCATTCCCTGCACAGCCCCATCAGTTCCCACCCCCGGCCCGTGGGGCTGCACTGCGGGAGCAGCAGAACTCACCTGTGCAGGGTTTCCCCAGAATTTACTGCTGGGAGAGGAATGGCAACACTTCCAGGATTTCAGTGGCCTCCCAAACTCCATCAGGGAGTGGGTTTGGCCCTTTTTCTGCCATTCCATCTTCTGTCTTTAATCTCTGCTCCAGCCCCATCTCATTTCTCTGCTGTTACTGCCATTCCCATTGTCACYGCACCCACTGCACCTGCTCAGGGTGTGACTCCATCCCACCTTTCCAGCAGCAGCAAAACCCCATCCAAAGGGTCCAAAACCCCATCACCCCTGCTCAGTCCTGCCCCAGCCTCATTCTGCAACCCCCTGGAAGATGCAGCCCTTAGGGCTCTGCTTTGATTCCCATTTCAAACCTCTCTGCAGAAATAAGAGAGGGATGAGATTTTAAACCCAGACAAAGTAGATGGAAGTAAATGGATTTCTAAAGCTCCTTATTTTATGTTTTATTACATGAAACCTAAAAGATCAGCTCAAGAAACATTTGGATTGCAGAACATTYAACTCAAATGGCATGGGAAAGCAATGTGCATTGGAAAATCTTTCACTCTAATATGAGAGAATCCAAAATACCCAATAGAACACCCAGGAAATACATTTTTCTAATATGATCTCTGATTTTAAGTAKCAGAGCATCAAGAAAACAGCTGACAAATGAACAATGAAAAGCTAAGAGCAACCAATTTCTGAAAAACACTTTCCCACAAACAGCCTGACCTCAAGAAGTTGYTTTTTTGGGATGGAACCATGAGGACAATAAAAGGCACATTTCCATTCTGTGGCTTTATTATGGCTGCACAAAGGTTTGTGGTGGCTCAAAAGTGCTTGAAGTCACCACAGGCAGGASAGCAGGGCACAGTTCTGCCACATGTGACAGCCCCACTCCAGGATTTGCCTGCTTGTGCCCARTGTGCAGGAAATGGAAGGATTCTGCAAGAGAACACATGGCCATCAGTTAAATGGGTTTTTTTTTTCCCTAGAGAATGGTGATTTTGGCAAGAAAATGAAAATCATCAGCCAATAAAAGGAAATCTCCCAAAACTCTCACCATTATAGTTGCAGTCATAACTGTAGTTTATAACTACCCATAAAAAGCCAGGGTAYTTAGTAATCTTTATTCTAGCCACCAAATACACATCCTTTTAAACATTTCTCTCTAATGCCTGACAGATCAAGCTGTTTAAAAGCTGAGATTAWGCATCTGGATTGATCCCAGAGACTTCATTCATAGGATTTCTGTTGGGGAGGAGCTCACAGCACCRACCAGAGGCAGCTGTACTCAGAAAACCTACAGAGACACTCGGCTCCAGCGTGAAAATGTACTGAATCTCAACAGTCAATGAAAAGTCATAAATAATTCAAAAATGTGCACACCTTCTAAAGTATCTAAATCCCTGTAGGGCATAAGCCAAATCTGAAACCATTCTGAGTTCTCTGAACTCTGRCAGTTTAGGTAAAACAGAACAAAAATAAAAATCTCACCTCATTTTGGTTAAAATCCACGAGTCACACCCTTTGAAAATAAAATGTAGCTGTGAGTATAACTGCACCCAGGGCACTGTGCACACTCAGCATGTGATCTGCTCCAAGTCTCTCAAAGCGACGAGTTAAAGGGCTCTGAATGTGAAGTTAATAATTCCTCAGAGTTATTTTATGAGCAGCCAGGAATTATTGAAGTACAAGATGTGCCCAGGAGCAGGTGGGTTTCCCTGCAGCTTCGTGTTTCCATAACAATACAGGAGAGCCAAYTAAAAGCCAATTAGTCATGGCCATTACTCCAAGGTCCAGCTCTTGGCAAACTCTCTCCTCTGGCCGGGGCTGCCCATTGTGCTGGGGACAAAGGCTCTGCCATGAATGGGGCTGTTTCCCTGTCTCCATGGAAGCCGGGCCACGCTCACCCTACACAAACCTTCCCAGGCACCTCCARCGCTGCTTCCCCCTCTGATCTCTGCCCCAAACAAATGGGCTGTTTATTCACCCTTCTTCTCATTTATGGGGACCYATTTGATGCTGTATGAATACTGATGAGGCAAGAATTAAACCCGTGTTTGAGAATCAGGGAAGATTTCTGCTTCCAGCTCTTCTTTGAACCCCAAACCTCTCYCCCTTGAAAATTAAGAGTGTGGATTTGGCATTAAAGGAGAAAAAAAGCTCCCAGATACAGAAAAGTGACCCAGTGATTGAATCGCKTGATGAGAAATCAGGAAATCATGGTGTTTTCATTGTTCTGCTACCAAAGAGCACTTTGACTACATCTGTGCCTCCATCACCACCCCTGAGAATGAGGGTGGAATCCTGTGTACACCAACAATGCGAACTAAGCAACCCCAAGAAATTAAACCTTCTACATTGCTGGCTGCATCTGCTTTAAAGACCAAAAATCAGAGAAAATCCAATCARAAATTTGAAATATCCTCTGAAGTGAGCGTGGGATCCCACGTCTGTGGCAAAACTAAAAGAGGAAARCAGTCCCTTTCTTCCAAGAGACAGCAAAGATCCATTAATACCTTAAAACTGTTGGTGTTGTGTGTGACATTTCTGATTGGAACCTCCTCCAGTCCATCCAGTCTTTAATTCCTAGCTGTAGCTCACAGGAATGGTGGGTTTTGCCTTGCAGCTGCACAAGCAGCCCTTTGCCCCTCTCTGTGCAGCTTAAATGATCCCTGGCTMTGCCTCTTGATCTCTGGCACCAGCCTTGGCAGATTGATCCTTAAACTGGCTTTGGAGAATGTAAATGGGAACTCCCTGTGTCTGTAAACCCCTCTTTTGGAGCTCTGTTGCAGGGACACTCCCCTTCCCTGTCCCTCTGTCACCAGGCTGGGTGACATGTCCTTTCCTGTCACCCTTCTTGGACACTGCTGGGGACGAACCAGTGCCCAGCACTGCACTGACCTGGACTCCTGGCAGAACAAATTTCCAGTTCTGTATTTCCAGAAGAATGCTTGACATCAGATGATTAGCCAATCAAATTAAAACCCCCCTGGGATTTTTAGAGTTTACATATCTTCTCATGCTGCTGCTTGCTTGTCTTTTGCATTTTTCCCTGGCTCTGGAATTCCAGCTTGCTTGGCCACATGTTCCTTCACACACCTTTAAAATCCCTTCCCAAGCACCTTGAAATAATCCATGCATGGGTCAAGGAAAGAACATCTGCATCTGCTTTTTATTCAGGTGTAGGGAACATTAACTTTGCTTTATTTCTTCTGTTGTGGAACATAAAGCAGAAGCAAGATTTGATGCAAATGACAGAGCCTGTGCCAGAACAAAGAGGTGAATTCTGGAGCACCTGAAAACCCTGACAGATAAATTTCTTTGTATTTTCCCAGATAAACACCCACAGAGAGGACACAGAAGGCTGTCTTTAATCCATATATTGGGCAGAGACTAACAAAACACATTCTGTGTCAAATTTCTCCACATTCAGAGAAGTGATGAAATCTCCAGAAAATTACTGTAGAATAATTGAAGTTTGTTTTTCACCAACTAATTCCCTCACAAAAACTACAGAGAATTGAGAGCTGTTATTTAGCTCTGTCTTKAATCTCACCTAAGTAGAAGGACTCTGCAATTCTGAATTATGTGGGATGGAATTCTTTTGTCTCACCAAACTTGTTAAATTTTCCTCAGATTGCACAATCCGTTGGCCCCAGGTTGCCAGATGGCAGAAGTGAATACCACCAGCAGCTCTGTTAAACATAACAGCCTTCACCCACACCTGCTGGACAAAATTCTCATCATGCTTGAATATTCTCCATGTTTTATAACTCAAAATTTTAATCAAGTCCACTACTGCAATAAATATTTACTGAAATGTCAACATCTCTGTGTTATGTGAACTAACTCCAGTAATCTCTGACACCTAAACAATCTAAATTATACTTCAGCTCCAAACTAAGAGAACAACCTGCTTAAACAGTGCTCAAGAAATTGTAAAGGGTTTCTAGTGAGCACCAGGAGATCAGCACATTGCAGGAAAATGAAATTCCTGTGACAGAAATATCCCCCAGGAGCTGCCCATAACTCTGGAGCTCTGTGGTGCTTCCCACTCCCAATGTCCGAGTTTAACAGAGCATTTTATCTGTGCACTGCTCCGTAATTGTTCTTTCCAGAACTGATGGCTGTCCAGGCTCCTTTCTGGGATTGCTATTTCCCTTGATTTCACAGGAAATTCAGTCGTTGCTAAGCTCAGTAATGCCATAAACTGCAAAAGAAAGAAGTCATTGGTTTTTAACGCAGTCAGCCCTACCCAAGGGGATAAAGTAAGCACTGGCCTCTCAGCATGGGTTAGCTCAGCTTCTTCCCTGCAGATGTTTCCAAACAGTGACTTTTGTTGTTGTTGTTAAATCCATGATCTTGTTTACCCTTCCCCTTTTCCAGCACCATCGGTGGGACTGTCCAGGAGCAGCTGTGCCAAACAAAGGCTCAGCGATCCCGAGCTCTGTCCCTGCAGCCAGCGGCCCCTTCCAGCTGCAGCTCAATTTCCAGGCAGGAAGCRCTGACAGGATTTGCACAGAAAGGTCATTTCATACAACCTGTGACAGCAGGAGCCGTTTGCTAAGTGRTTTAACTCTCAGATTTTGCTTTTTATTGTGTTAAAGGAAATATTCAATATTCTCCAGACCAAAATTCTTCATCTACAGAAGAATTTGGAGGGAACTTCATTCACTATTTACTATATAATATATTTACTATAAACCACTATCTTGAACGTGGTTTGTTTTCTTCTTCATGTGCATTCTTTGTGAACAGCACAACAGCTCCTATGGGTTTCTCACTATGGGTTTCTAACTTTTGAAATTCTTTATACTTCTAATTTCAGTAACATTTAATGAAAACAATTTGCATATTGTGTAAAAAAAAAAGCACTATTCTTAAAATGAATTCAGGATCATGTGACACCTTTCAATCCCATAGACCTTATTTGCTATTTTACATGTAAGCTGGAGTCACAGAATTTATTTTCTCTGTCGGCTATATTGTGTAATWCCATTGTATTTCCTCTAAAATAGCAATACTGCCTTTCAGTACATCCCTAGGTAAGAGAGCCAAACTAAATCAAAACAAATTTATTCCAATCAAAAGACAGTAGCAGCTCCAGTGGGTTCATCATGACTGTCACTTCATGGTCCATTCTTCTTTCCAAAGTGAATGTTTTATTGAATTATTAGAAAATAAATCTATGTTGTTAGATTTGTTAGATTTTGTTTCATGTACAGCAAGAATTCCCATTTTACTGCACTCGGTGATTTGTAGTGTCTACAACTACACATAAATATATCATTTTATAAATACATATTATACATGATATATTAAAAAATAAATATTACATATCACTATTATATAACATATATAACATATATAACTTATAAAAATAACAACTATTTTATAAAAAGTATAAATGTAATTATAAATATAATTATTTATATAGAAGAATTTCCATTTTACTGCATTTAGGGATTTGTACTGTCTTACATGCTTGAGTAGAACATTTTCAACTCAACTACACATGAATACATATTTACATGTAAACAGGAGTCACAGAATTCATTTTCACTTGTCCAAAGGCCATCTGAAATCCACCATCCTTGGGCTGTCAGGAAGCCACCCCAGGCAGCCTTTGGGGTTCAGGTCTGTGTCCTGGTCTGCAGCCTGTGCTAGTTTGACAGCAAACAGCAGGGGAACTACCCCCACATGAATATGTTGTGAGAGATTCTAAGTCAGAACTACAATTTAATAGGAAAAATTATAATAAAGGCAATAATACAGAAACAACAGTTTAAACTGAAAGAGTTAGATCACAACCAGACACCCTGTTGGGCAGGATGGAGGCTGCAGCCCCGTTGCAGTGATGGATGTGCTCTGGGTCAATGTTCA